GCAATATGGTCCCCGCCATTACACCGCAGTTAGTACGTTTGTAATATGGTCATTGAACTTTTTAGGCATTTTCATTTAGGTCCTTCAACTTTTAAAACTTACAACACAATCCTCAATTTTATTCTAAACCCCAAATTCTTTTTCGATATCTAATTTCCTTTTTCGCTCCTCTCTTCTCATTTCCAGCTTAATTTTTCAGTTGGGGATGTATTGAAAATTCTAATCCAACTTTGAATTATGTGGAGGTGTTGACTTGAATAAGGGTATATTGAGAGAAAACCCGACCAAGGGACTATCATGACCATCAAAGATTCAAGGTGTAATGTTAGATACATGTAATCTCAGGTGAAGCATAAATGTTCGATGAAATGCTTGTGAGAAAAAAATGGGGTTATAAATGCAGAGTTGATAAATATTACTAATATGAAGTAAGTATCATTGTTGAAAGTCACAAACAAAGCTGTAATTATTTTGTATAAATGACATATAATAATTTCTTCGTTTGATCCTTGTGGTTAAAGATTTTCCAACTTATGATCAAATATAATGAAATCTCAAACAACTCATTCAACTCTCAATCTCTTTTGCTCACATGCATTATCGTTTGGTTTTTGTTCTTCAATTTTCTGCCATGTAAAATTAAAAACCCAAGTAGTGCTCTATATTTCACCTTTTTATTTACAAAGAAAAAATGGAGGAAGAATTGCTGGAACACAACACCGACTGCGTTTATTTCTTAGCCTCTCCCCTCACTTGCAAGAAGGTATTTATTTTATCTTTTGGGCTATCCGGAAGTAAGCTTTTCCTCTTTCGCACTTTCCCATTTTCAGCTCGCATTGTGTGTTTTTTGTTGAAATTTTTATGTTTCTAAAACTGCATGTCAATGATCTAGATATTCAGTGTTAGTTTTGAACCAAAACCATCTAATCTTTTTTTCTTTATTCTTAATAAAAACTTTTAGTACTCCTTATGAAAGATATTCAGTTCATCAGAATAGAAGTAAAAGAGGGTCCTAGGTTAATTTTTTTTATATTCTTGTTTGGTTTTTCTTTAAATCAGGGAATTGGTTGTAAGTATTGGCATAGTGAAATCGCAAGGCTCAATCTGAGAGACGAATGGTACTAGTTTATTGGAATTTGTTGGGTTATGGGGTCCAGCGATCACCCTTAGGGATTCTATCGTGTATGGACGCGATTTCGGTGCGTGACTGCCCAACCTGTCGAGGCCCACGTGTGCCTTGCGAAGCCCCTAGGCCCGCCCGCAGCACGCTATAGATGCGGGTCTCTGCAATGCCGTGGTGAACTGTGGGGGGTGACCCACAAGAATCCACAGTAGCTTGGGGGAACCCAATGATCACCCACTACAAAGATATGAGGTTAAAATGACCCACCTACTTATCACCAATTTGTTTTAAGAAGTAAATGTGATCATTCGCTTCAGAACTATGTGGTTAAGCGTGCTTGGACTAAGGAAATCCAAGGATGGGTGACCTACTGGAAAGTTGTTCATAAATGAATGACTCGATCCTAACAACTGGTATCAGAGCAGGTTGCAGGTTCGAATCCCCCAGGTGTCGCTGGGGGTGATTGTTGGGTTATGGGGTCCAGCGATCACCCTTAGGGATTCTATCGTGTATTGGAGCAATATCGGTGCGTGACTGCCTAACCTGTCGAGGCCCACATGTGCCTTGCGAAGCCCCTAGGCCCGCCCGTAACATACTATAGATGCGGGGCTATGCAATGCCGTGGTGAACTGTAGGGGGTGCCCTACAAGAATCCACCTTGGCTTGGGGGAACCCAATGATCACTCACTACAAATATATGAGGTTAAAATGACCCATTTACTTATCACCAATTGGTTTTAAGAAGGAATGGTGACCATTCGTGTAACACCCCCAACCCGTATCCAACCCGGATACGAGTCCGAAGTGTCACATTGACTTTTCAAACATTTATTCGTATAAATATAGTGAGTAATTTTAAAAACTTTTATAACATTTAACTTATTCAAAACATTTACAAAACTATTCAGAGCTTATACAATATATTCTTTTGATTACATACCAACTAGAACTTTATAAACAAACATACTGAATGTGATATGTATACGATGGGTTTATAAATGGTTATCAAAAGTAAGTGGTTTGAAATGTGTTACATGAACCATATGATGTTATATGTGTTTCTTAATGATAATGATAGAGATTATGATAATGATGTTATATGTTTATGTATTCTTTATGTTATATGAAATATTATATGTTTTATATGTCTCGCTAAGTCATTGATTTAGCGTGTGATTGTTTCACACGTAGGTTTGGAAAGCGAAAAAAGAAGTAAAGAGGAACAAGATAGGTCAGTTCTCCTTACTGAATGTCAGATCAGAAGTTGGCATGCCAAGAGTCGAGGGTCTATGTGGTCCTTCAGGACATATATGTATTCTTTGGAACATGTGTGAAGTCTGGTGAGACACATACTTGATCCTTGGCATATGTATATGATTCTTAAGGAATGATATGTGGTCCTTCGGGACATATATGTATTCTTTGGAACATATGTGAAGTCTGGTGAGACACATACTTGATCCCTAGTATATGTATATGATTCTTAAGGAATGATATGTGGTCCTTATAGACATTATTATATGGCACTACGGTGCAATTCTACGTGGCACTCCGGTGCAATTCTACGTGGCACTTCGGTGTAATTATATGAGTTGTGGTGACAGCATTAGTGCACAACCTCTATGTACTCGCATATCTTTAGTTCTCACATGTGTATCATGGGCTATTAAATAGATAATATTAATAACGTGATATGATAATATGTTTGTTTCCTTGTGGAATTTAATGTGTGATATTGATTGTACAAATGGTAACTTATAAGACCATATGATGAAAAGAATCAATGATAGTGATAAAATAAGAAAGAAATGAAGATGATAATATAGTTACTTGGGTGTACGTGTTTTATGATAGTATATATATATGGTTTACATGACATGATATGTATATATGCAATTGGTTATGATATATGTTATATGATATGGACATAAGAGATCATAGGAACATGAGATAAGAGATATGAATGATAATGACATATATGTATGCATATATTTGTTACATGTAAAATTATGAGTGGTATGAAATGATAGTAGTAATTGTTTAGGTATGATTATTAGTTACCGTTTACCTTATATGTTTATATGCCTCACTAAGTCTTTGACTTAGCGTGTAAGTGATTTACACGTAGGTTTCGAGAAGAGTAAAGAGCAATGTGGAGCAAGACAGGTCAGTTCTCCTTACTAAAGGTCAGATCAGAAATGATGTGAATAATATGTATTTTAGTATATAAAGTTCTAGTTGGTATGTTTTCAAAAGAATCTATTGTTTAAGCTATGAACAGCTTTATAAATGTTTCAAATAGTTATATGTAAATAATAAGTGAAATATACATGCTCTGATTGGTTTTGTAATAATGAAAATGTTTTTTTTAATGTAAATTAGTCATTTATATGTTATAAAAGTTTTAAATTACTCACTATTTTATACAAGTACATGTTTTAAAAGGTCAATGTGACACATCGGATTCGTATCCGGGTCGGATACGGGTTGGGGTGTTATAATTCGCTTCAGAACTATGTGGTTAAGCGTGCTTGGACTAAGGAAATCTAAGGATAGGTGACTCACTGGGAAGTTGTTCAGAAATGAATGACTCGATCCTAATAGAATTGTATTGATTCGACCTATGGTTTTCGGCGTCATGTGAGCTCGTATTCTTTTTAATAAGTTCATGTTGATTATGGGACTGATATATCGTGAACGAATTGGATTTTTTTACATGTTTTTGAAATTTTAGAATTGGATTTTATTGAATTATAGCTTTAGAAGACAATTCTGCATGCACGTAACTAGAAAGGCATCATGACAGGGTAGTATATTTGGAGCAGCTACTTGACCCTGTCATGATGCCTTTCAAGTTGCGAAAGAGACTGAGAGGTGAATGCGCTGTTTGAGATTTCATTATATTTGATCGTCTATTGGAAAATCTTTAATCACAAGGATTTAACGAAGAAATTATCATATGCCATTTATACCAAATAATTCCAGTTTTGTTGATGACTTTCAACTATGATACTTAGTTCATCTTAGTAGTATTTATCAACTCTGCATTTCTAACCCAATTTTTTTTTCTCACAAGCATTTCATCGAACATCTATGCTTCACCTGAGATGACTTGTATCTAACATTACATCTTGAATCGTTCATGGTCCCGATAGTCCCTTGGTCGGGTCTTTTCTCAATAGAGCCTTATTCAAGTCAACACCTCTATATAATTCAAAGTTAGATTAAAATTTTCCATACACCCCCAACTGAAAAGTTACGCTGGAAATGAGAATAGAGGAGCAAAAAAGGAAGTTCAAGATCGAAAAGGAATTTGGGGTTTATAATGAAATTGATAATTGTGTTGCAAGTTTTAAAAGTTGGAGGACCTAAATACAAGTACTTAAAAAGTTCAGTGACCATATTGCAAATGTACTAACAGTGTAACGGGACTATATTGTAAGTTTTAAAAGTTGAGGACCTAAATGAAAGCTTTAAAAACGTTCAGTGACTATTACTATACTTTACCCTATAAATTAATATCTAGATATTTTAAACAATTGGAAGGTTTTAAAGGGACGACTTCGAGGTTTACGGTTTTCTTTTTGTCTGCAAAAAATTACACGTAGGAAAAGAAAACTCTTCACCTGGGACTCAGAGATTTAGATCTCAACGGTTGGTGTTCGATTCTTCATCTTATGGAATAATCAACATCGTCTGATCTCGCCCCACATTGTCACTCCGTTCTCCGATCTCATATACCCAAATAGCTTCTCAGATCCAGTTCTCCGGAATCAACAATTCTAAACTCAGCTCCCTCCAATTTTGCATAATTCAGGTAATTGTAGTTTGTTTCTTTCGTTTTAAGCATTTTATGTTTTAGATTTTGGTTTGAATTTATGTATTAATGATTTAGATATTTGGTAGAATGCGGAATTTGGTGAACTCTGTTTGGTTGCTGAGAAAAATGGAAGGAATTTGAATTTTGTTTGTTTCCAAGGAAATGGGAGAGTGTTGACTTGTTTAAGTAAAACAAGTTTTATCAGATTAATTTGAGCGAAGAGATGTGAATTACTTCTATTTGTTGATTTTCCTGCCTCTTCTCTGCTACCACACTGAAATATCTAATTATAGCTGAATTTCAAACGAGTACGTAATTTAGAATTGGCCATTGTTTTTGTATTTTATTGGAGTTCAAGTACAGCGAGTTTATGCTTTTCTTTTTTGCCTTAGAAACTTTAGGTTGATTGATTTCAAATACTATGGCAGAGTTCGTTAGTTAATGGATGGAATTCAGTTGAAGAATTTCTTTTTTTTTATAACAAACAAGGCCTCGTTAAAACCCGCACGCCGCTATACAAAAGTACCTCAGTAGACATTGGAAGGAGGAAAAGAGTGCTTAAAATATTATTCAAAAAAAATTACACATCATACAACAATAGGCTATTACAAACATTACCCACCAACTTAACCTCAACCCTCCCAACAAACACATCATCCAAACAAAAATTACTAAACAATTATCCTATACCCGACTTAGCCAAACTGTCAACCTCCCAATTCACAACCCTTTTTACAAACCTTATCATAACACTATGCTCCAATACAACACTGACAATTTCCTTAACTAACTGTGAAAACATAGTAGGACACACTTCCTGAGTCTTAATCCATTTCACTGCAATTGCAGAATCAGTCTCTATAATTAACAGACCCTTACCACACCACTCTGATTCCACAAACAAAGCTAATCCAGCTTGAATGGCCTTCAACTCAACTAACATAGGCGGACCTGGATCAGTAGATGCCGAAAATGAACCTAGAAGCTTGTTTTCTTCATTTCTAAAGATTCCACTGCTTTTCCAATCACTTCTCATTGCCCCATCCACATTAATTTTGAAGAAACCCGGGGGTGGGGTACTCCCCGAGACCGATGAGAGATTTATCTTCATGGACAGATTACTTGAATCAGCCAACTTCGGGTCACCAACAAGGCAGTCTAAGAGAACTGAAAAATTAGGAAATTTCGCCGAAAACCACGTAGCCACTTTATATCTAGACATAAAGAACAAATGTTTAAGATCAAGACTTCCATTCTCGAAAACCACTTGGTTTCGACACTTCCATACTGACCACAAGAGAACTCCTGAAATAAAATTCCAAATAATAGACTTTGGAATTAGGTTTCCCCAAGAAGATAAAAAGACATTAGGATACTCTGGAAGAACCGCGGTCCGTGGATAGATTCCACAACCTTAAGAAACTCACCCATAAGCCCCACGCAATAGAACAAGAAAAAAACAGGTGAGAAACCATCTCTTGATGCAAACCACAAAGAGGGCATAAAATGTTCTCTATCCCACTAACACCATGCTTGATAAGTTCAGATTTAATAGCCAATTTTTGATGCAAAACCTGCCACATAAACACCTCCACTCTTGGGGTAGCATAACCTATCTAAACCAGCTTCGACCAAATTGAATCCCCAACAGACCCTCCTGACAGTAATTTAACGCATGATTTTACCGAATAAACGCCCTCCCCATTCCCTGTTCACACACAATGATCATTTGCATCATTTTGAGTACTATCATTACTTAATAACGACAAAAGCACCACCCACTGCTCTAATTCCCAGTCCCATAAATTCCCTTCGCAACTGAATATCCCATCACCAACCCCTGTATTAAAAAAACCAAACTCGGAGATTTTTCCCTCTTTATTAACGGAAAGAGAAAACAGCCTCGGAAACTTCAATCTAAGTGGCACATTGCAAATCCACTTTTCAAACCAAAAGAAAAAATCATTCCCCTTTTCGACTCGTAATTGAAAATGATTCTGAAAACAGTGACCAAAAAGCATTATCCGCCCAGCAGTTATTAACAACTCCCCTCCAAATCCAAGATGACTTATAGGGTACCACATTATCCATCAAAATTGATCTATTATCCATATTATACTTGCAGCACACCAAATTTTTTCACCAAGACTCCTTTTCCATAGCAAACTTCCATGCCCATTTCCCCAGGAGAGCCCTATTCATAAAGTTTAAATCAATGAGCCCTATTCAGTTGAAGAATTTTAAGAATTGTTTTGGTCAAATTGTTCTTTGACAAGCATAATTATCATATTTTAATGTTTTGTGTATTATATTTGTGTTTCCTAGTAGTAGATACTCACAGCTAGAATTTTGGAATATTTTGATCAAGTAAAGTGTGACCAATATAATATCCCACTAAAGTGTTTTCCGTAAGTTAATCAGTAGATATTGTTTGCTATTTGTATAAGCTATATATAAAATTGGTAACTTTGTGGTAGTGTATTTTTTAATGTCCTTTAGTTCATATTTATTGGTTCTCTTCTCAGTGACTTGCCCTTAACTTAGGCAGCTTACTCTTGTCTGTTCATGTTGTATGCTTCCTCTGGCTTTTTCACTGAGAATTCCATTTCTTTTTTATTTAAAAATGTACCGGTTTCGTTCTTAATAAGTTTTTGCATATCCTAATTTTTTCTGGACTAACAGTGTATGACATTCAAAAACAGTGTATCTTTCCAGTTTTTAGATTGATGTCTTGTTTAGATCTTGAAGCAAGGGAAAGGGAAGTGGGTTTCTAAATTGCTCTAGAATTTTGCTTCCTTTGCAGTTTTCTGTCGTCACACCAGTTTATATATGGGGAATTTTAAAATTCTATCATGCTTCTGAATTCAACTTTAGCTTTTTCTGAAAACTTATGAGTTATGAATTGTGCATCTCTTGATTGTTTATATCCTGCAGTTGAAGAACTTGACTGACAGACCAACAACCGTTATGGGAGCAGAAGAAATTAAAACAGACATGGATATCAACAGTTGGCCCTCAGACTTGGCCCATGAGCAGTGGGTTGCACTACCAGTTTCTGGTGCACGACCATCAGCTCGATACAAGGTATTTTTTGATTTTAAATTTTAAATTGTGAAGCTTTGACAAGATCTTATTGATTGTCATTTTTTGTGTTCTCTCTCATTGGGGCTGTTTGATCATGTTGTTAATCATTAATAAGGCTGCTATCCATTTCTTATTTTTTCTATTATTATTGAGCTAGATTTCTTGTCATGTTATTTTTGGCTTTATTGTAGCATGCTGCAGTAGTGGCTGATGAGAAACTATATATCACTGGCGGAAGTCGTAATGGTCGATACCTGTCTGATATTCAGGTTTTGTTACTTGATCTCAGTTCATACATATTAAGAACTTTATTGTATTTGTTTGTAATGTTCTCTTTGGCTGCTTTTGCAGTTATTTGATCTTAGAAGTTTGACATGGTCTAGTCTGAAACTGAAGATTGAGCCTAGTGATGATAAATCAGAGGAAAATGGCTTACAGGAAGTTCTTCCAGGCATTTCAGATCACAGTATGGTAGGACTTCAGTTACATCCACCCCAATATATATAATTCTTTTTTTTCCTAACTAAACTCCTTGAACTTATGCAGTGATGCAATGCAATTTTAAATAAGCACTTGAAACAAATATTTATTTATTTTGTTTCAGATTAAGTGGGAAAATAAACTTCTTCTTCTTGGCGGGCATTCAAAGAAATCTTCTGATGCAATGATAGGTTTGTATTTCTGAGGGTCATTTGATAAAATTACAACAGAAGTTTATGAATCTAGTGTTCTGTTTAATGGTTTGTGAATGTTGAAATTTGTACATTGTTTGGAATCTAATCATAGTTAATGCACTTCTTGTAGTGCATTTCATCGATCTGGAGACACATGTCTGTGGTGTTATGGATACCTTTGGAACAATTCCGGTAACTCACTTTTTACAGCTTTTATTTAATATACTTTGCAATTTTCCTTGTCTCTATGCTTGCTCATTTATTTTATTCTTTCCTCTGATCTATAATTTCCAGTTATGCGTTCCTTGAGATGGTAGAGTTCATTTCACTTATTTATTTGTTGTGTTATATGTTCCAGGTAGCACGCGGGGGTCATTCTGTTACACTGGTGGGTTCTAAGCTGATAGTGGTTGGTGGAGAAGACAGGAGCAGGAAATTGCTTAATGATGTACATGTTCTTGATCTACAGACAATGACTTGGAGTGTAGTTGAGTCAACGTAAACATCTTTTCTGCCTTTAAGTGCTGCTTATTCTTTTCATGTTTAGAAATAGCCTGCATCACTTCCTTGTATTTTGATAGGCAGACACCCCCAGCTCCAAGATTTGACCACTCAGCTGCAGTGCACTCTGAGCGCTACCTTTTGATTTTTGGTGGTTGTTCGCATTCAGTATTCTTCAATGATCTTCATGTATTGGACTTGCAGACTGTAAGTTTTGGAATTCTTCTTTGTTTTTGGTTTTTTTTTTTTGGTATGAGTTGAATGGCATTATTTTTCATTTCCCCCCTTTCTTTTGTAAGCTCTCAATTTCCCTTGATTCTATAGTGTGTGCAAAAGGCTTACCAAACAAGTTTATAACTATCATGGCCTCCTGAATTCGCCAGAGTGTTGTTTTCGCATAGCTGAAAAAATAGCATAGATGAGAGTTTATTCTCATGTGTGCTTGTTGAAGTGTGCTTGTTGAAGTGTATTTTGTTAGGCACAAAGAACTCTTCCAAGACCCTCCCAATATTCTCCATAAAGCTGGGTTCAGCCTAACTTGCTAGACATTCTATGTAAATTGCACGACAAATGCTGAAACATTTTTTATATAAGTGTTATTACCATTTCTTGACCTTGTGTTGCTCTGACTCTTCATCTTTCTTGGAATATCTGTGTTCAATACCTGTGTTTGATGCATATCTGGACATGGGTATTGGTATATGATTTCTTGAGGACTCCAAATTCATGGAAATCTTGGCAAAAATTAAACATAATCGTATAATTGATTGGATTGGACTTGTGTTGCCATGCAGCTGGAGTGGTTCCAACCCCAAGTTCAGGGTGATTTGGTGAGTCCTAGGGCTGGTCATGCTGGTATATCCATTGATGAAATGTCGTATATCGTTGGTGGTGGAGATAACAACAATGGTTCGTATGTTCTTTCATGCAATCTTATTTATGATGGGATTTCATGTGCTAATATGCTTTTTTTATACAGGTTGCCCTGAGACTCTTGCCTTAAATATGTCTAAGTTAGTTTGGTCCACTTTGACAACTTTGAAGGAGAGGCATCCACTTGCTAGTGAGGTTACTATTCTAGGCCTTAGCTTAACTGTATATATGCGACTTCTAAACTTCTACTCAGACAATTTTTTTTTGAATTTTTCTGCGGATTTAGTTTCTTTTTCCTTTTAAAATAATTTTCGGTGATGGTCCATGCCACTGTCTTAAAGCTGAGGAAAAGTTGAATCTCCATATCTAACATGGGGTGTTTCCACTAGTGTCACTCAATGCTCCTAAAAAGTGAATTTTATGATTTTTATCTTACCCAATTCATTGTGTTTCTAATTCTGGCAATCCAGCTTCATGATAACCTTCAACTGGCTTGTTTTCAAGGTACTTTGTCAGACTGAAATATCATCTAATTTATCGTTTTAATGAACATTGTCAAAGAGGCACGTGTTTGTAATTTATCCAGTATTTTATGTCTTGTGATTCAATTTCTAATCTGAATGACCTGAATTTGTTTATGGATGACACTTTGTAGAAAACATTAATTTATAGTTTTCGTGAACATTGTCAAAGAAGCATATGTTTGCAATTTACCCTACATGTTATTTATAATGCTTCAACTTCTAATCTAAATGATACGACCGAAGTTTATGTATAAACCGCAGGGCCTAAGTATTTGCTCGGCTGTAATTGATGGGGAGAAGTATTTGGTTGCGTTTGGTGGATACAATGGGAAATATAATAATGAGGTATTTGTTGTATATACGAAATCACTTTCTTGAAGTGCTCATGCTGATCTATATTTCATTATGCATCATTTTACCTTTTCCCAGATGTTTTATTGGTTGTTTGTTGATAGGTTTTTGTTATGAAACTCAAGCCAAGAGACTTATCTCATCCGAAGATTTTCCAGTCTCCGGCAGCAGCTGCAGCAGCAGCTTCTGTTACTGCTGCATATGCATTGGCGAAGTCTGAAAAATTGGAATTCCCACAAATAATAGACCTGAACTATAATGGAGTTGAAAAGAGTGTTCCTCAAAAAGATATCAATACTGAAATTGATGCAATTAAAGAAGAGAAGGCGGCATTGGAGTCATCGATTGACAAAGTCAGGGCCGAAAACTGTATGCTGAGGGAGAAGATCGATGAATTAAAATGCAATCATACTGAATTATCAAAGGTATGCTCTTGAAGTGACTCAAAAAGGTCATTGTCAATTATATAGCTCTGATGATTAACAAATCGATTTGAAGTTTTTGCTATATTTAATTTCCCACTGTCGAGCAGGAACTCCAATCTGTCCAAGGTCAGCTGATATCAGAGAGATCAAGATGCTTTAAACTTGAGGTTTGCCAATTTTCATATTTTCGTATCTTTCGGTTTCATTCTAGCTTTTAGAGTATTATTTTTTCAATTTCGACGACTCGAGATCTAACACATGGTTATATATCCAGGCTCAAATTGCAGAACTACAGAAGATGTTGGAATCATTACAAACCGTAGAAAACGAAGTGCAGATACTTGGGAGACAAAAGTCTGCCCTGGAGCAGGAGATGGAGCTTTCATCTGCCCAGCGGCAAGGTTCGGGTGGTGTTTGGCAGTGGATAGCCGGGGGCACATAGAGGTTGCATATCATTCGAAACAAAAGGATCATACTGGAGTTGCTCCAGTATCTCTGAAGCAATGACTAGGTAGGTTCCAAACCCAACTGGTATCAGAGGGTGCGGTCTATTTGAATAACACTTAGATCATGCACACTGTTTACATGTGTTTTGACACTTTTCTTGATAAGTGTTTGTGAGCTTCCGAGTTTCGATTTTGAGTATTAATTTTTTTTTGGAGGTGATTGATTCCTGAATTTGTTCAAATTGTACTTTTCGTCCTGGTTGTGTGGGCACTTTTATTAATTTTCAGGTCTTTTTACTGGATACTAGTTGTTCCGTATCCTGTACACCGGTTCCGTATCTGTTTAGCATATTTAATTGTATTATTATCATAGTACTAAATTACGGTCGCAATTGCGGATGTTACGGATGTTATGAAGTGATTTATTTCTTAAAAATAACTATGTTTTTAAATTGCGGATACAGTTGCGGCATCTTAGTGATTTTGAAAAACATTACGATGCGTCTATTATATTGTGTTGCGACCGCAATTTAGTATTATGATCGTTACCGAATCTTGACATTTTCATGCATATGTAAGGAATCTCTTGCATACTACAAATTGCTTTGCCCAACTGTGATAAGAAATTTACAAAATCGATGTCTTTTCCAGAAATTAAAGCATCTGTTCCTGTGATTTCAATAGCCTCAGTATAATTTTGAAGACAAGAAATCCTATGGTATCTTTGCATGCATTTTTCCTGAGAATTTTCTCCTAAAAACATTATTGCGTCAAATAAAAATAAAAACAAAAAGAAATCTTCGATTGATGATTGACCGGTAAACGGGCTTATGTTGCCTTGCAGAGAAAATCTGAATCATCCTGATTTTTCTGCAACATTATAACCTGGCAATTTGTTAACTCATGTCGTGTTTGTTTATTTTCTTGTGGCAATTTGTGTTAATATCATAAATGACATAATTTTAATATTCATTTTTTTATTTAAACTTTTGAAATTTAAACTCAATTCAACTTAAAATTTGAATTATTAATTTAAACTGACTCAAATAATTCAACTTTAATAATTTTTAAATTAAATAATAATAACTTTTTTATCAAATCAACCTACATAGATTCAAATATCGACGGTTTTGTCGTATATTCATCTTCCATTCACTAAGGTTCGCCTTTTAAAGAAAAGGTTTAAATGCACTATTGGCCCTTAAATTATAACCTTTTTATCAAATTATATTTTAAAGTATTTTTCGAGATATTCTACTCGCTTAACCTTAAATCGTTATCTTATTTGTCCCAAAATGTTAACTCTGTTAAAAAAAATCTCACTAACTAATAAGAACACATCATGTCAACATTTATTTTTAAAGAAAAAATTCTGAAAAAAATGGTGACGTGTATATTTTAATTGGTCCACAATTTTTTTAACGGAAACGAGATAACTATTTAAAGACAACTCAATAAAAATGGGGCCAATTAATTTCATATTATGTCATATTCGGATATTCCCTTACATTTTAATTTATATTTTTCACACTTTTTTAATTAATTTTCAAAATATAATCCTTTCGCATTTAATAATGCAATTATTATGTTGGCAAAATGACTATAAAAATAGTGCAAAATGTAGCGAGGATTGTTAAAACCTCATGTTAGTCCGACCTTTCATTTTCCTTGTAGTTCCAATGTCCAACACACAAACAAGTAGAGAGAATAAGATCATTAAAAGACTCCAAATTTATGAAAACTTTGACAAAATTGAACACATTTACGTCCAACAACTACCTGTACCGAAACACAGTAAATAAGAACGAAAGGATGAGAGAATGAAGCAACCAGCAATTTTTGCATAATACCTTATAAACCCAGAGTATCGTTTTCCTGTATCACGTACCTTGCAACTTCATATGGTGAACAATTTTTGGACTGTAATGAGATGATAAATGTATGTGTTTCGAATCCAGCAATCATCATAAAAAGAAAAAAAATAAATGATGAAACATCACCTGGTCTACCATCCTAGTCCAACCTACAGTGGTAACTGGTATATTACCCGACAGTCTTTAATCAATTGACGTGTTGAGTGAATCATAGCCAATACCTTGAGCAAATGCAGCTCCCAATCTTTAAACTTACAGAAATAATCAGGACACAGAATAGCATCAAGAAGAACCGACCCCTTGTCTTGCCGGAAAGTAGGCCAGCCACTGGCAGAAAACTGTTGGAGTTGATATCACCTTGCGGCAAGTTGAAAGAAACAACAATGTTGACACTCCCGTTTTTGTTATACGACCAGTCCAATCGGTTACCAGAAGAAGCCATGTCTGTTATTCTTATCATGCCAGCCATAACATGTACAGAACTGGAAGTTTGTGAGGCAGAATTCAGCTTGTGCATTGCTTCTTTTGAAGGAAACTCAGAGGCAAATGCAGGAGGAGCAGGAAAGCTACCCAACATTTGACTAGCCTGTTTAATAAATGGATACTTGGTACCTATAACAAAAATAAGGCACCAAAAGTGAGCACGAATGAATACAAATGTTTCGTAAACAATGGCATTAAAAGCTAGGCAATTCGAAACATCATTTACCAAGTTCAACTTGCGTGGCCTCCAGCTCTTGCTTTTTAGAGGATCCTTCACTATTGCCGCGTTCTTCAATATGTTTACTTGCATTAAGCCCATGTTCAGTTCCTTCATTTGTGTGCTGTTATCAAGAAATAATTTAATTAGAAACTGCACAAATTTTCTGCATGTACTACAACAAATCAAAAAAACCAAAGACAGGAGAGAACTATATACCATTTGAATAATAGATTCTTGGCCGGCAACAGGAATCTCACTTCCCACAATTTGATCATAATCAAAGGCTAACAATTGATCATCAGCATCATCGAATGAAAAATATTCACCAATGTCAAAAAGTTCAGAGTCTGGGTCAATGGGGTTTGAAAGATCATTAGTTTCCAGGAGATGTTCATCAATGGATGGAAGAAAATCACTAGCATCCTGGTATGGCTCTTCAATCACAAAGTCCGCGGAAAGGATGTTTTCAATTGGTTCAAGCACATATTCATCCTTTACTGGTTTTACATTTGTCACTGTTGCATTAGGCTCTTCTTTAAACTCAATTGAGTGTTCAGCACAGTTGCTTGATTCAACATAATAGAAATCGGAAGGGAGCAATGCATTCCTAGACATATAGTCTGATGGCTTTTGATTGTCTTCACTGAATTCTCTCGAATGATCCATATGGTTGCTTGATTCCTCCCCATGGTAGACGCCAATGTCAAGATTCTGTCAACAAAGCAACACTAATTACGATTATTCATTAAGCTGTGAACCAACTCATCCATAGCTTGAGTGTCTTACCCTATATTCACTAAAGCTATAGTGTCTCAATGATTTCATAAATCTTACCCTATATTCACTAAAGAGTTCATTCAAACTTCAAAACATAACAACATAAAATATAACAAACGCCAAGTTTCCGAGCACAAGACAAGCCAAAAACACAACACACCTGATCAATATCATTTACTTCAACAAAAGTGTCATCATTGGCAACCTCTTCGTAGACTGCTACATCATGTTGACCAGGCACAATAACTGCCTCATCATCCTCCCATTCTTCTTCAATAAAGGGTGCCCCATACTGCTCACCATTCTTTGGCCCAGACCCACTCTTCTGAAACACCCTACACAAAACAAAAGCATCCTTCCAGCCCCAACAGCCCAACGTTAATTACCAAATAAACATCAATCTCAAATCGCCAAAACACTACAAAGATTATAATCTTTACCTGTTGAATATCTTTCTCCAACGCCTCATCAGTAAGGCGGTATTCATGCATTACCCAGTTAGTCCGTTCACCTCGTGGGGCCCGACCTTTATGGTAAACAAGTGTTTTCTTCATGCCAACCACACTTTCCCTAAAGCGAATTGCACGGTCCTTTCCAGTTGTCTTCCAGTAGCCTCTCTCAGTTGCCCTGTTGGTCTTTGACCCATTTCCATGTTTCTTGTCCAGTGCACTGAAAAAGTACCACTCCAAGTCCCTGCTCTTCAGCTTTGACTTATCTATTAAGAAGAAAATCTTGATTTAACTTAACAAACTTGCAAAAAAATCTAGTTTTATATTAAGGGCAAACATAAATATGTACCAGATAAAGGTGAAATTTATATATACAAAACCAATTTCAAGAATTACAGGAAAAACCTTGAGAATGCGTAAAACGTAAAATTTAACCCAAAATTAGGGAGTTAAATGCATAATTAAGCGATTAAAAAAATCCCAATTTTAAAAACTTAAAATAAAATGCCCTAAAAGAAGCTTATTGCTCTAACCGAGTATCTTCAACAATCAAACCTCAAGAACAAAATTGAACTTCCCCTTCAGAACTTAAAATTCGGGCCAAGCCTACAAATAAAAACTTAACCTAATATTCAAGAACCAAACAAAAGAGAATCAAACCAAAAGGGGGAAATTACCAGGGAGATCCCAAGGCTCGGATCTGTAAATATCGATAACAGAGATCAAATCAAAAGATGGCTTCTTCAAGATTTTCCGTTTTAGGTAGTAACGAACGAGTTCCTCGTCTGTGGGGTGGAACCGGAACCCGGGAGCTAGAGAGGATGCTTTGTCACGACCCATCTAGTCAGGATGAATAGAACCAACACAAGTTCAGGTCTTTTGAGGAATTGGCAAAGCATTTAATAATTCAATGGTTACAAGTTTGGGTATATACTATACTATATAGTCGATGTGCTGAATTAATTATTTAAAGTTATTACAATATTTTTATTTAAATACTAATTAATATTATTATAGGAATACATAATTTAAATAAGATAATCAAGAGTTATTCGTTTTAAAGATTAAAATTGTGTTTAATGCAATTCAAATATTCGGTAATTTTTAGCATTTAATTACATATTTGATCAATGTCAGAAATTTTGGTATCCATAAATGAAACTTATTTTTTATATTCGATTACATAATTTGGTGTAGCAATATGAAATTTGATATTTGATTACAAATGTTGGTTTACAGGCACAAAAATTTCTTACTAGTTGTCAATTTCTAATTTATTGGAATACCAAACTAAAAAAGTTGTTTTGTATAAAAAGTAAACAACTTTCTTGGTTACTCAACTTTGTTTATGTTACTATTTTGGTCGATCAATTTTAAAGATTTTAATTTCATCGATCAATTTATGATTTATGTTATTTTTATTCGATCATTAAATATTTAATGATAGAATTAAAATATTATGTATTGGGATACGAATTAAATGACCTCATCGGTTAAAGAATTATTATTATTCTTTAAATTTTTAAATTCAAACGTCATATATATATATATATATTAAGAGGTATAAACGTTTAATATTTAATAATTGAGAGAATGAATTAGATATTATTTTATATTCGCATGAAGTTAATAAGAAAACACGCCATAATTTAATTTTACGTGAAAAGCAATTTGGTCATTTTCTTTTTTATATTTATTTAATTGTACGTGCGCTTCAATAACTTTAATTTTACATATACACATTCCTTTATTTGTCTTTCTATCTCACCTTGGAACGAACGATAAAGTCACTCAAAGTAGCATAATGGGTGTTGTTCAACATGAAAGCACGTGGAATGCTCCTGAAAGTCACGACAGAAGGTTCTAGATTTTTACTTTTCAAACATATACATGATTTGTGGTTTAATTGTAAATTTCATTCTTTTATTTTGTTAAAATTAAAAAAAACATTTTTTATTTAAAAAAATAATCTCTTTATTTTATTTCAAATTGTTTTTCATATTACGATTACCGAAAATATAACCTTGTTAGTATATAAATTTTAATTAATTTATTGCATATGAATTTTTAAATATTTATTTTTATTAATTACTGGTATATAAATCATTTAAAGTACTGATTTTTAAGTGAAATGATTAAATTCTATGAAGTTCATAACTAACCTATATTATATCATTTCTCACTCAATTATACTATTTGTTCTATTTTATTTATTATATTTTTAATTTTTTAATTAATTTATTAAACTTTCGAATGGTTTTTATTTTGATAATTTTAAATTATTTTATTATTTTTAATGATGTAACATTTTTATTATTATTATTTAATATAAAATAATTAAAAATATAAAATAAAAATAGAAGGCATATATGGTGGTTGTTCATAAGTTCAAGTGACAACGGATGTGCCCTTGAATTCGACAATACATAAAACGGCATATCTTGAAAACTTGTCCTTTAGAAACATTTTCAGAATATTTTTTTAATTCATAGTAAATTTTATCTTTTTTTAATTTTTTATATAATTATATTCTTGCGGCTTGCTTTTTTTTTCTTCTTCTTTTACTTGATAGGTAACTGTATTAATTTTAGTATTGGTCACCAATTATCTGTATTCTTTATTTTTCTTATACTTTTATATTACACCTTTGTCTTATTTAATTTTTTAATTTTTAATAATTATACTTTTATGGCATTTTTTCCGTATCTTTTGGTATATTTTTATTTTCTTTATCAATCTTATGACATTTTTTCTTTCATTTAATTCATTTAAGGTTGGATTTTATATCGTCACTACTGATGAAGATGATACTTATTTATTATTCTGTTGATCTTCCATGCTTTTGGATCTTCAGATTGAACTTGAATACACAGTTTGTGTCTGTAGATATTTTTTCTCACGATTCTCAATTCTGATTTATGATTATCAGTGATCTTTCGATAGTTTAATCTCTTATTGTGGTTCGTTTATCTATGCAATCAAATTTATTTGTATCTATCTTTTGTTCAAGTTTTTAGATGAATTTTAACATTTTCCTTGTATGATCTCGAATGACTAGTTATCTTGTGTTATCGTTTATAGGATAATATTCTAATTACTTGTTAAGTTTATGTACATCATTATAATTTTAAATATATTCCCCGCTTAATAAAAGTAATGGCTCTATTTGCATCAAAAAATATATTTATATAAATTTAATAAATAAATCATTATAATAGAGTAGTAACAAATGTATATATAAATTTATTGGCTTAAAGTAAAAATAAGTACTTAAATTATACCATTTTTTGCTATAAGCCCCTAAATTATATTATGATCAAATCAAGTCTTTAAACTATTATATTTAATCATTTTAAATCCTATCATTCTTAGTTAGAAAATTATTTTTAGGCAAATAAAATGTCGAGACACCACACAAAATTAGATATCTATTTTGACTAAAAAAAATAATTTAGAAGCTTAAAACAAAAAAGAGTCATAGTTTAAGGACCTATTTTGACCAAAAAATAAGTTAAGTACTTAAAGTGATTACATATAATAATTTAAATATTTATTTTGGTCGAAAAATAGTTTAGGAACGTAAAGCAAAAAATAAATATAGTTTATTTATTTTTAATTTAAGCCAAATTTATTAAATTTAGATATATATTTTATGGAATATATTATTAAACTTAGATATATATTTTAAAATAAATTATAATAATACTCTTTTATATATTATTTAATTAAATTATTATTTTATTTAATTAAAATGATATATATATAAACCGGATGAGACTCAAAAGTTTTAATTTTCAAATCAAATTTAAATGGATGAAAAACCAACATTAACCATCTCTTAACACCTTACCTAAGAAAATTTTGGGGTGGTATAAGTGTCCCTAGGGATGGGTATGGGTCGGGTCGGGTCGGGTTTTTTGGTCCATCAGACCCGACCCGAGAACAAAAAGTCCTCCACTAGAGACCCGACTCGATATATAACTTAAAAACCCAACCCGAAATAATAAAAAAATATTTTTATTCAATAAAAATAATTATTTAATTAGAAAAAAATAATATATAGAGGGGTATTATTGTAATTATTCCTAAATATATATGGTAAAATTATATATTTTTTCAGGTCGGGTATTTTCACCCTTAACCTGACCCGAACATCACATAAAAAATATCCTACCCGACCTGAACCCGAAATTTGTTTAAAAAATCCGACCGGATCAGATCGGGTCGAAACACGTTGGTTTCAGGTCCCATGCCCATCCTTAAGGTGGTGTTTGTTTTTACTGTGTAAGGTCTGCAAAGCTCTTATGTCTGCGCTGTGCATACCACGCGCAGACATTGGGCTTCGCAGACCGTTTGTTTTTTAGAAGACATAAGCTCTTCTAACATATGCGCGAGGTCTTCTTGGTGCAGACATGATTTTATGTCTTCAAAGGTCTTCAAATCTCTTCAAAGAAATTAAAATTATTTAAATCTATTTTAAAATTTTATTTTAAAATATGGATTGATTTATTTTAAAATATGGAAAAATTTATTTTAAAATATGGATTGATTTATTTTAAAATATGGATAGATTTATTTTAAAATATGGAAAAATTTATTTTAAAATACGGATTGATTTATTTTAAAATATGAATTGATTTATTTTAAAATATGGATTGATTTATTTTAAAATATGAATTGATTTATTTTAAAATATGAATTGATTTATTTTAAAATATAGATTGATTTATTTTAAAAAAATTTATTATTTTTGTTGTATGGATTATTTAAATTTCAGTATTATAAAACTAAAATTATTTAAATTTCAGTATTGCAAAACTCTTTTAAGTTTAAAAAATCAGTTTATTTATATTTCAGTTTATTTTAGCAGTCTGCAGACGTTAAAAAACAAATAGTATTCTTCTTACAGACTGCAGACTTTTGATCCACCTCTTCTACTGCAGATGCCTACAGATGTGATATGTAGACTACAGACCTTTTACCTCTGCAAAAATAAACACCACCTAAGTGTCCCAATTCCACTTTAAAAAGACATTAAATTTAATCATTGGAGTTTGGTTTCTGAATAGGGCCCAGCCCAGACTACCCAAGCCTTGGAAATAGCGAAACAGGCTTGTCTCCGGATACTACCTGAACCCAGGCTAAATATGTAACATACAAACATCACCCGATCCATAAAAAGTCTCCTTTCAATATCATGGAATTTGAATTAATTTTTCCCATATAAATTCAGCTTAAGGAAACAGAGTTCAATGGTATTTTTTTTCTGTTGATCGGTTCAATTTAATTTCTCACTAAATTTTTTCCCCGATCTTAAACATAACCCCTCTTCTTCTTCTCTTGTAAATCCTAATAATTTCATCTTCCCTTTGGGTTTTCATGGAGGAAATCAATTGGGGTACCCTCTTCCTGGAGGCTGACTTTCCCGATTTCGGAGATATCTTACAGAATGAACCGGAACCGGTAACTGAAACGCCTCCGTAACCCTTTTCGACCGAGAATCGCGATCAAGAACCTGCGGTTTCTTCATGGATCGGGTAGATCGAGAAGGCTTTGATGGAGGATGATCATTCTGGCGATAGGACTGAGACTCAGCCTGCCTCCGATGATGATTTCTTCGCTGATTTACTGGTCGATTCACCTCCTAGTGGCGGTGTGGCCTTCGACGATGCTGATTTCAGAAAACAAAACCAGACCCACACCGAGGTCGATAAAGATGATCCCTTTATTAAGAAACAGAGAAGGTATAAATTGATATTCCCGATTTATCATTTTTGTTTATTGTTCACTAATATTGTATTTTATTTCAAATTCATTTGTTGCATGTCTAATTTGAAGTAGAAGTGTAATCGCTTACGTAAGAAACTAGAGCTTAATCGAGTTTTTCCTTTAAAGCTCTATTGATCTTCCCAATCTATTATCGTTCTCTATTGTTCACTAAAGTTGTATTTCCTTTCAAATTTATTTAGTTGCATGTCTAATTCGATGTAAGAGATGTAGTTGCTTACTTAAGAAACTCTAGTTTGACTGAAAACAGCTCAATTGAATTGTACTTTTAAAGCTTGAGTTTGATTTGGAATGAACATTGAATTGCTCTCATCTTCAAAAACATAAGCTTGATTTTCATTGGCGAGTTCAAAATTTTGATTAAGTTTTTTACCTAATAAAAATGAACTTGTTTTCCATGTTCAATTTCAAACTCCATTTTTGTATTAGTACTCGAGTTCAAATTGAGATTCTTGAACACTAATTAGGAAAAAAAAAACTAAATTAGACCCAAGTAGTTTGTGAACAGAGTTATCTTGTTTAAACCCAAATTTGAAGATAAGGAACTGGTTTTAGTGCAATTGATTGATCTGAATGTATTTATTAGGCAGTTGAGAAACAGAGATGCAGCGGTGAGATCAAGGGAGAGGAAGAAGATTTATGTCAAGGATCTTGAGATGAAGAGTAGGTATTTAGAAGGGGAATGTAGGAGACTGAGCCATATGCTTCAGTTCTTCATTGCTGAGAATCAAGCTCTTCGTCTTACTTTGCATAAGGGTGGCACATTTGATGCATCCTCAGCCAAGCAGGAGTCTGCTGTGCTCTTGTTGGGTATGTTATGATTCTCTATACCATCTCTCCTTGCATTCATAGTCTTCTATTTAATAATACAATGGGGAAGAAAGCACTTTTTTCCTTCACAAATGGATTATGTTACTGGGCTCCGGTTTTAATGTCCTATATGAAGTGTGCATACATGTGTAGGTTACTAGATTTCTTGTCTTCATAAATTGTATATATTACTTGACTTGGGTTTTAATTCTAATATCATATGTGTTCAATACCCGTACGTTCGTTTCTTTTTCCTGAATTTTTCATACATTTGGAAGGTCATATTACTCTATGTTTGGATATGCATTTTATGGATATTTCACGAACAAAAGGTAAAGAGCCAGAGCTGCTTAGCAAACAGTACTTGTTTATGGCCTTTGCAATTGTGTTTCTAGTTTTATTCTTCTAGATCAGAATCATAATGGAATTGGTAAATATTCAACCTTGCCCATGTTAGCTTTTAGTAGGGTTTATCATTTGGATTAGGGTTTTGGTTTTAGCCTTGTAATTTCATTTTTCCTACTTCAAGCTTATTAGTGAAGTATAGATGTCAAGCAGAGGGCTGTTTTGCGACTTATTATACTTCTGATCCACTAAAGATTAATAACAATACTCTAGAACTCTATGTTTTTTGTATTCTTTGTTACTTATTAAATACTGTTGCTATTAATTATGGTTCATTCTTTTAAGCCTGTTGAACAGTTCTAATCATTGTTTGCCTTTGTAGAATCCCTGCTGTTGGGTTCCCTGCTTTGGTTCCTGGACATCATGTGCCTCTTCACGCTGCCAGCACTGCCCAAGTCAGTTCCACTGGCAAACGAGGAAGCACAAAGTCCCGAAAGAGTGGCTCCAAGAGGGGTAGAGAGTAACCCGGTCGGACCAACTTTTGTAACGACTAGGAGATGCAAGGCATCAAGGGAAAAGATGAAAGATTTATTGTTTTTATGGGAATTTTAGTTCCATTTTACGTTTTTAATGTGATGGGTGTGTGGGTCTTATTGTGTTATTACGGCATTTGTGGTTGATAATAAGCACTCTTCCATCTTTGTTTTTGGATTTAAAACTCTCTTATTATACATTTAACTTGTTTGGATAACTAGAAACTTAAAAGTTCCTTTAATTAAGCTTTAACAAATCAAAATAATGCTTTGCTATTCATCATTTTCAATGGAATATCTGGCCATCCAGGTACATTTTCAAACGTACAAGCCGAATGCTAATGCCGGTGAACAACAATTCATGCCTAAATAAGGGTAAAGATAAGGAAATCTGCCAGAAAAGCTCCTAGGCAACCCGTGCTACCTGTCTCGGTTGCTCCTCTTCAGTTCCTCGTTTTCATCAATAAGAGAATCGATTCTCGAATGTAGAATGCTGATCATAGTTCGAGCACTCATCAATTCGAGCCTCAATGAATCCTTCTCAAAGGAGATCTTGCGGACCTCATATTGTAGTTCGTTGATAAGTTTCATGCAATCAGGAGGCACAACGGAATATAGACTACTTGTAATGTTTTTTGGCGGAGGAGGAGAACAAGTGTTCTGATTCTCTTTCGGTTCTATAGTTTCTATCGACGAAAATTCCAAGAGTGCAGAAACTGCTGTTTTTGTAGCGGATGATGGAGACATTGTCTTTGTTCTAGCTGAACAATGACCCTGAGTAGTTTTAGTAGAATTCTCAGAAATATTTGCATGGTTTGGAACTGAATCTGTATGCCGCCTTCTCTTGTATTGGGATAGAGATAAGGGTGATTCTCGATTATGCATGCAATCATCTGATCTATTGATCTTGCATGGAGATAACAAAGTACGGTCATCCGTTCTCTCATTCGGCAACTCTCTCAGAACTTCATCACTAGGCGGAGCATCCTCTTCCAGATATTGAATGTCCTGCCGTCATAAAACAGAGTTCATAAGAGGCACATCACATTCAGGTAATATAACAGTAGCATCTGACATACGAAGATGCAAGCATTAAAAACCATAGAGATAACAACTAAATCAAGAACAGTGCTACGTTAGTTTAACTTGAGTTTGCCAGATATCGGTATGTGTTTGACGCACATTCAATTATTTCTAAGCTTGTCCATTTATTTAGAGGGTTCTTTGACCATCATGACATCCACAGTGTTCATATTTGTAGATATTCCGTGCCGGAATCAAATGTTACCACTCAGGCCTGAGGTTTTTCATTTCTTTAATTACCCATGTCCGAGACCCATGTTTGACACAATGTCGGAATTAAGTGAGGACAAGTGAGGGCCACGACCGTCCAAAATTTAGGAAAATTCAGTTTTAGACCTTTAAAATTTTCAAAAATATAATTTAGCCCCCACAAAATTTTTAGAAATTCTTATTAAGCTTTATATTTTTTAAATGTTCTTAATTAAACCCCTCCCATAATTTTTTAAAAATTTTCATTAAGCCTTTCAAATTTTATTTTTTTAATTAAACCTTTTTTTTTGAAAAACATGTAAACTGAACTATTCAAAATTTTTGTAAATTATAATTTAAACCTCTAAATTTTTTAAAGTTTTAAGTTGGCCTCCCAAACTTTATCACCAAGTTCCGCTACTGGTTTGACATACCTAAACATGCGTGAGGGGTTATAATCCTCCAAGGACCTTCCAAATACATGAAAATCTTGAACAAATTTGAACCTGTCCGCATTGAACACATCTGGGTGCAATACTCACACCAGTTACATAGCTATAAAGTGCTCGATAAACTTGATTATATAGAACTATCCAACTTGCTTTTATAGAACTATCCTTATAAACCAGAGCTCAGCAGGCAATCTTGCAATATTACTCGCCATCATCTTACTAGACAAATAAAGGGATAAACGGAACAGTTCCTCGGTATGGAATCTTCCATTCAATGAAAGTGTCAAATAAGTGTAGAAATATCCAATTATGTGTGTAGGATTTAGGGTTTAAAAATGTTATATAATATAAAACAAGTGAAATCATCGAAGTGAGGATCTAAAGGAAATTCAACACTTAAAAAAACATGAACATCTACGATAAAGTTGATTATTATAATAAAGCCATAACAAGAAAGATAAGGCACATACCTGCTCGGAACTGATCCTTTGAACACCGTTGCTTTCAGTCGCAGCATTCTGAGCAGCTGCCACATCATTGCCGGCTATCGAATCGCTAACAGTTACTGCATCATCCTTGGTGTCTACTCCCGGAAACAAAATGGCTGAATCATCATCCCACTCTGCCTCAATGAAAGGTGCATATCGGTTTCCATTTGGTGGTCCAATATTATTCTTATGAATTACTCTACAGAGCACATAACCCTAAAGAGAGGAAACCGAAAAAATAAAATCTTAATAGTTTATGATAGTAAAATCGTCAAGTTCGTTTGTAGATAAAATTGTAGGACTTCTAAACATAAGGTTTTAAAATATTAATAAACCATGAAAATAAAAAACACTAAAAACCCCACAGATACATGTAACATAGGGTGTCGGACACAAATACTTAAAGAAATAAACGAAAAGTAGCAGTAACATGGAGTAACATATTATTAATTTTATCAATAAAAACATCATAACATATGACAAAAGGAATCACATTTACTATATTTTCTTAGTAACTGGATTGCAATGAAACAAAGGTAGCAAACATATAACCAGCTCAAACTTATATTTTCTAATCATCTCTCATAACTTGTATTTTTTTTCCACACAGAAAAAAGTGTCTCAAACTCTCAGGTCCATTCTTCAGTACAATCAGATCAATGCAGAATAATACCTAAGGCACAACATACTAAGTATTTCGTATTAAAATTCTATTTCGTCATCCAAATTATAGGTGAAACACGAGGCAACTGTTAATGTACATGGCTTAATCTGTAACTGCAACATCAACACTTGGAGTGATACATAACAGATCTCATTCAACATCAAGCTCATTTTAATGGTGGTCTCAAACATGCAATGCTCCAATTCTTGCCAAGTATTTCAAGCTAAAATTATATTTCTTTTGTCATCCAAAATATTTAGCATACAAAATAACTTAATTCGTAACATCAATATTAGTCATGCATATCAGATCATCATTCACCATTAATATCAAATCAAATAGTTTCAACCTGAGATGCTCCAATCCTTTCCAACTCTTCTTCAACGAGCCGGTACTCATGCATAACCCAATTGGTTCGCAATCCATCTGGAGCTTTCCCGCTATGAAAGACTAACGTCTTCTTCATCCCGATAACCTGCGAATTGTGATGGACCTCTCGATCTTTACCCGTGGTCTTCCAATACCCTTGGTTTGTAGCCCTGTTCATTCTTCCCCCATTGCTATACTTCTTATCCAATGAACTGAAGAAATACCATTCCTGATCTCTGGTTTTCAATCTTGATTTGTCTGAAAAACAACCACAAGCAAGATTTTAGCAACATAAATTGAAAATTAAGTAAAAATCAATAGAAGAGTATCATGGTAATAGAAAATTTATCATAAAAATCCAAGATGCAAAAAAAAAAAATCACAAATACTAGATTAGACTGAAAAAATAAAATTAAACATTAACTTCTAAAGTTTAGAACAAAAATTGATAAATAAAAATAACCTGGAAGGTTCCACGGTTCATGCTTGTAAATATCAACTTCACCGATAGCCTTAAATATGACAGGCTTGTTGATAACTTTTCTTTTCAAATAATAACTAACAATTTCTTCATCGGTTGGGTGGAATCGAAACCCAGGTGCTAACTCCGTCTCTGAACAGCCAGTCTTCGCCGCCGCCGTTAGTCTTTGATCTGCGGCTAAAGAATTTTGACGACCCATAGAGAGAGAATAGTTTGGGGGAAAACCGAAACTTCAAAATAGGACGTTTTTGTAGTTGATATAAATAGTTGAACGATTTGAAATAAATATTTTGTTTTTTTGATTGATGAGCAAGATATAGAGTTCCTTCGATTGCAAGAAATTTCACTTATTTATATTTTGTAAGCCAAAGCGTTTAAATAATTTAGGGTAAAGTATGAGTCGTCAGCCAACTTTAAGTTTGATTCTATTTTGGTTACTTAATTTAAAAAAAATTATTTTAGTTACTTAACTTTTCAAAATTTTAATTTACTGTCATTCACCATCAAATTATTAACGAAATAATCATATAAATTATATTTTAATAGGTATAATAGTATATTTAATTTTCAATATTTATATATTTTATTACTAGTACTACTTTATCGTTAAAAACATCAATCAACCAATCAAATGCATGCAAATATATAAGAAGAATAAATTACATAAATATAGAGTTGCAAAAATTATGGTAATTTCCCTTGACTTTTCTCTTTGTTTGCCTTATTGTGATTGTGCAGTCCATTACACTCATGGATGAATAAATTGTGAGTAATGTAAAGAAATAAATTTTAAATTGATTAAATATTAATTTATAAAGATTTAAATATTTTTTTAAAAAATTTAATTTATTAAACGATCGAAGATAAAATTTATATGCTTGCATTGTCGTCTATTTGATTTGTATACATGTTAAAGACAAGTAACAGATGTGTTTACTTTTTGAACATTGCTCATGTAAAATTTCAAGAAAGAATATTTAAACAACAAAGTATTTTCTATAAGATGAATAAAATATTTTTTAAAACTTTTATTTTAAATTTAAACTAAATAATTGTTTGAATTTGAGATTGGTTGTAGTAGGTTGAGAAATTTGTGAAAATCGATTTTTCTAATGGTTTTACTTTTTCACATGTAAATATTGTCTCAAATTTTAATTAATAATTAGGGGCGAAACGACTTTAAGACTAGTAAGGGGTCGTGATCCTGTATATATATATATATACATAATATTAAAAGGTTTCCTCAAGAGAGACGAGTATAATAAATTATTAAATTTGATTGTCTCAAGATCTATTAATTGATTGAGTAATTAATAATACGCATATTGTCTTACCTTGTGTAGTTCGAATCTCGATATTTATATTATAAATATAATACATCTATTTACGATTTTATTTTAAATATATATTTATTATGTGGGTTCATGAATTTTAATCTTTAAAAAAATTACACATACACGCACACACATGTATGCGCGCACACACACACTCCTCCTATGTATCTGGTTGTTGAGGTTGGACATGTTAATCCTTTGTTTACATAACATGATCCCGAGTTACGTAAGTCAATGTATGAATATCCCGTCAATAAACGAGATGGAATTACTTTAGTGCATGTCCATGTCAAATATATTCCTCTAATTATCTATTTTCTCAAGAAAAACATGATAGGCATTATTAATATTATTGGTTTGCTCAAAAAAATTTAAACGGTCCTCCAAAAAATAATGTTAGTTTTGCCACTGACTGTCATTGCACAAAATGGTGGGCAACCGTATTCTAATGAATTGTTTGTTGAACTTAAGGTTAGTGTTTTCTTTTGAGAACTTAATGTAAAGTAGGGATGTGTGTCATTTTGTGACTGTATTCATGTGACAGAAAAAGGCAACTACCCGTCACCAAAATGAAGAGGAATCTTCTTAGAAAGATCGTTCCACGCAATATCATACTAGGCGAATTACTGTGATATTATTTATTAATTTGATTATGCATATTTTATCTATTTTTATGCCTCATTTTTATAAATTGTTTGTTAGTGTGTATAGTTTATTCATCAAACTATAAGCATGGATTAATGAATAATAGTATTTCCATAGGTTGAGTTAAAGATGAAGAAGTCAATTGCGGGGCTCAAACGACGATTGAAAGAGGAGTGAGTGGCACGTAAGAAGGCTAAAATACATGCTAAATTTACCCAAAAGGCATCAAATGAGAAAATTTACAAGGTTAGGGAGGATCATAAAAAAACATTGAGGGAGAATGAGGTGTTCCACAGAAGAAGAAAAAAGTCGAAAGCAAGTGTACCATCCTCCGACTTTGCTATTGATGCAACTGTAAAAATTATTACCCAAATTTCTAGAGCTATAAGTAATGTTGCATGCCCAAAATTACTGACATGAATGAAACAGGGATGAGAATGAAATTTCAAAATAAAGAGACAAATACATTTTAATGATGGCTTATTATTAGACAAGATGGATATATGTGTTACATACTTAGATTGGAGACATGCTATACTTTAATTTAAGTATGTTATATTATAGTTTATGAGGTATTCAATGCATTTGGCATGATCATATTAAATTTAGGGATTAAAAGATTAAATAGTTGAAGATAAGGTTAATCGAACATTGTTGTTCAAATCCAAGACAACTTATAGGTAAATATATAATTATCATTTAGGAAATATATCTTGGGAATATTCTAGATTAATGTAAAAAGAGTATATGTCTAAATATATCCATAAAATAATATAGATATTTGTATTATTTAATACTATGTCTAGAATTATTTACTAGAAGAATCTAAATATTTATAATGTTAAATTGTTAAGATGTTAACATGTGTCAATAATCCAGTGACTATTAAAATCTATAAATAGGTGTGAGTTTTATCATTGTAATAAGAGGAAAAAAGAGAGAAAATAGTGTATCTAGACTAGCTTTTTTCCTCCCTCTTTTTTTAAGGAAAAAATACCAAAATTATAATTTTAGTTCTTAAAATTTAAAAAAAAATTAAATTGCCCCCCTAAAAAATTTTAGAAATTCATATTAAACTTTATTTTTTTTTAATATTCTTAATTAAAACTCATCCTATAATTTTTAAAAATTCTCATTAATCTTTTCAAAATTTCAACAGTTTTAGTTAGAGCCGAATTTTTAGGAAAAAAATGTAAACTAAACCCTTCAAAATTTTTAATTTAAACCTCTGAATTTTTTAAAGTTTTAACCAAACTTTATCACCAAGTTCCGCAACTATTAGTAATTAAGTTAGATTTTATTATAATTCTAACAATTAGAGATTAGTTGATAATTTAATTTATTTAATAAGTAATATTTATTTTAGTCAATAAATTTTATTGAATTAAATTTCTTAGTGACCAAATATTTGATTATATAAATATGATGTATGTCTTAAACTTTAGTATTATGAAAGATAATTAATTTGGAGATATGTAACCCTCAATGTAATTTTTGAGGTATATATGTTGCAGAGATGAGTTTTGTAAGAATATTGTGAGAGTGATTTGGGATACTCTGGATTTTATATAAATATCAAATTTTAGGATACATGATATATCATGTATTTGTATATATCATGATCTCTACGTTTATAGTATAATATTGTTTTTTTTATCTGTGGAGGTAACCAAAGTTGAACCATGTTAAATTCAACCTTTTTTGTGTGATATTTTCTATGTTGATATTTATTTTTTCATTTACAGATTCCTATCAAGTGGTATCATAAGTTATAGTTCAAGTTGTAGGGGAAGTAATTCTTCAATCGATCTAGTTGTTCTTTAATAAGTAAATACTTATTTTAGGCAAGAAATCTTATTGAATTATGTTTCTTGTTGATAATGTATTTGAATATATATATATATATATATATATATATAGTGTGTGTGTGTAGCAGGTCTTTATAACTTTTGAGATATGTATTGCATAGATGAATTTTGTAGGGATATTAGAAGAGTGATTTGGGATATTGGAAGAATGATTTGGGATATTTCAGTTTTTGTATAATACCGAATTTTAAATACATGAGATATTATATATTTGTACTCTTTGTGATATCTAAGTTTATAATAAATTATTATTTTTCTCGTTCGTAAAGGTAGACAAGATCAAACCACGTTAAAACTCGCCTTTTACTTATGTCTTATTTTTATGATGTTATCGTTTTGATTATTTTTCTGCTTACAAATTTCTAAGTGTTTAGAATTTGTCCCAAATTCAATTTCACTCAAATTGTAAAACATTTATTTTCTTTTATATTGATTAATAATATATGATTTACTTTGAGTAAATTTTTACAAAAATAAGATTTCTTTGTAACAAAGTAACTATCATTATAAATAGATACTAAGAATTATGGTTCGAGTAAATTATAGATTTGAGGTCGAATCTTTTTTAGGAGTGCGGAAATGGTAGGATCATAAGAGGGGTGAAACAATTTAGATAAGATAAGAAATTGAAGTTGTTTTTGAAGGCTGAAACATTATATGAGCTGCAAAGATATTTCATATGAGATACATGTAGTTTTGGGTTGAGATGTCTTCTTACTTATTGATTGTCTTTCAGTTAAATTTTTAATGCTTCTTGAAACGCCTTAATCAGGTATCAAAAATTCAAAAATATGCAACACATGTAGAAAATTGGATACAAATCATATATATTATTTTTTTTATTTTTTATAAAATTTTAGTTATTTTATTATTTATTTGTAATTAAATTCAATCTAATATTTTTCATTTTTATTTTATATAATTTGGGAGCATATTATTTTATTATTAGTCAAAATTAAATTTACTTTGTGTTTAAATAAAGTTGTTTTGTACTTAAATAAAGACATGGTAAATTACACAAATGGTCATTAATATTTGAGAAAGTTTTTCTTTTCACCATTGATGTTTCAAAAGTCACAAATCGGTCACTAACATTATCGTTTGTTACAAATTGATCACTCGATGTTAACAACCGTTAACAGGCGTGCCGAAAAACACATATGTCACATTAATTGCTTACATGGATTGTGTTGACCGCCACTTTTTTTAAACTTCAGTGGGGAAAACGAAAACTTTCTTAGACATTAGTGACCAACTATGTAGTTTACCCTAATTAATAGGGAGAATCAAGGGTTTCATTTACCATTCTGAACCATTCTACTTCTTCCATAAACATTTTTTCTTCTTCCATAAACTTGTTTCTTCTTCTTACATAAACTTGTTTCTTCTTTTTCCATAAACACATTTCTTTTTTCTTCCATAAACCTATTTCTCCTTCTTCAATTCATCTGAAAGAAAAAGTAGTGAGAAAATAAGATTTCTTCTTCTTCCATTTGTCTCAGAAAAAAAGTAGTAAGAAAAATGAGCAAAGAAAAACAATAGTACTTTCATGTAGGTTACAAAAAAGGGGGGACAACACTATGCTTTATGGTAATCTTCTTTTGGGTTTGATAGAAACTAAAAAATAAAAAATAAAACCTTAACTGAGAATCCATAGTTGCAAAGCGGAACATCAATGAAGTCTTCCATCTTCACAAGATTTATCTTCTCTTACAATTTTCAGGAAAAAAGTTTTAAAGAATAGAGATAGGAATGAAAAACCCTAAATTAAGTTTAGGGATTAGGTGACCGGTGAAGGCTTTTGGGTCTCCAACGTGGCGGTTAACCCAGTCCGTGTAAGCAGTTAATGTGTCAGTTGTGTTTTTCGTCACGTCTGTTAAGGATTGTTCACGTCGAGTGACCAATTTGTAACAAATGATAACATTAGTGATCGATTTGTGACTTTAAAACATCATTGGTGTAAACGAAAACTTACTAAAACATTATTGATCATTTGCGTAGTTTACCCATAAAGATATTTACTTTCTTCCCGTCTAAGTTGTCAGGGTATACCAACCTCGAATAGTTATAAATACGTATTTATTTAGCTCAAAATTCTAATGTAAATTACAAAGACGAATTTTTTTTAGAGGGATAGACGTTCCATTCATTCGGGCAAAGATTTCATTTGTTATATTTTCTTGTGATATTTGTTTTTAACCTCAAAACTATGTGCAAATATTTCATGACTTTTGGTTGGTTAAGAATTAATCACGAGATTTTTATGCAAAGGTAAATATATTCACACTTATTGTAATAATAATATCTTGGACTTATATGATTTCATTGGAATTACATGTTTTACCAAAAAAAATGAAAAATCTCCAAAGATAAAACCAACAATCATTAATTTTATGTATATAAAAGAAGTTGAAGTAATTTTAATGAAATGAAATCTTAAAATTTTCATTTTAAAATTTACCTCGGTAACTCGGTAGGCACTAATCAATTATTCTTATGATATTGAGAATACAATTGTCAGCAATCCAAAGCCAACTGGTTCATTATTCTGAGAAATCAAAGGAAAATATTTAATACAATTTTTTAATTATTTCTTGTCAATTGTCTTTAACATCCAAATTAATGTTCTTCTCAATTTTTTTAAATCATTTGGACCTTTCTATTTGCCCTGGAAGTTCCACCAAGCTATTGTATTTTGTCCTAACCTATGTAATTTCAGTTTTAAAACTTAAGCATTTCTTGTTCATTTTCTTGTCCAAATCACAACCCCCACAACCACCATTTCCGGTGGTTGTAATGGCAGTTTCCGGCAACTTCCCTAGGCTGATATTCATATCAGCTTTTATCTTCAAGCTCTTAATCACCGTTAGTAATGGTGCTGATGTTTACTTGGAGTGGACTGTAGCCATTAATACATCAGTTCTTCCATTTCCTCAAGAACAACCTGTAAGTTTGTCATCTGTTAAAAACACCATTAAGTTCTTTAACTGTAATTTTGCACGTCTTTTTTCTTCTTCCAGTTGATTTGATTTGTGTTTATGATCTGAGATGTGTTCTTCACAGGTTATTACCATCAATGGGATGTTTCCAGGTCCCCTCGTCAATGCCACAACCAATGACGTAGTTTACGTCAATGTGTTCAACAATATAGATGAGCCACTACTATTTACATGGTACGAAAATAATAAGAGTTTGAATTCTAACATCGATACGATATTATCTAGATGGTGCCGACTCTTTTATATCGAAAAACTTAGGGTTTTTGATGTGGTTGGTGATGCAGGAATGGGATACAACAAAGACTTAACTCATGGCAGGATGGAGTTTCGGGAACGAACTGTCCAATTCAGCCTGGCACTAACTGGACTTACGAGTTTCAGGTCAAGGATCAAATTGGGTCTTTCATCTATTTCCCCTCCATCAATTTCTTGAAAGCCGGAGGCGGATACGGTCCGATTCGAGTTAATAATCGTCCAGTGATCGAAGTACCCTTCCCCCAACCCGAGAATGATTTTGATCTTCTCATTGGAGACTGGTATCAGAAGAGTTACAAGGTAATGTACATAGTCTTCTCATTGAGCCTATACATCAATGATTGCAATGTTACTTACTCGAACGCAAATATTTTATGTTGAATACATATTCGTATCTGACAATCATATAAATTGAAATAACATACAATTTCTCTGCATCATACAGGAAATAAGGTCCCAGCTCATAAACAATTCAACGGTCTATGAGATCCCTCCTGATAAAATCTTGATGAATGGAAAGGGCTCGTATTTGGATAATGATTCAAAAGCCTATGAATTGTTTACCGTAACAAAGGGTACGAAATAAAATAATTTTTCTTCTTTTTTATTAAATTATTTATATTCGAAATTCGGATATATTTAATGCGTGAACCATAGATCGAATAACGTTGTGGTGTTTATGTAATGCAGGAAAGACATACAGGTTCAGGGTATCGAACGTTGGAACTGCCTGGAGTTTCAACTTCAGGATTCAAAATCACCGGATGCTATTGGTTGAAACAGAAGGATCTTATGTTAATCAGATGCCTGTGGATTCTCTCGACGTACATGTCGGCCAATCTTACTCCGTGCTCGTCACGGCAGATCAACAAGAACAAGATTATTACATTGTGGCGGTTCCGAAACAGGTCAATGCCACCGGGTTCAGTGATCTTGTCGGTGTCGCGGTGTTGCACTACGAAAACTCCATTATTCCTCCTAGAGGTGGTCTGCCACCGGGGCCTGATCCATTCGATATCCAATTCTCCATCGATCAAGCTAAATCCATTAGGTAAATCGAGAAAGACGGAATCGATTTGTGAAGGCGGGACATCTTAACTAACCATATCGTGTTGGTTTGTGTAGGTGGAATTTGACGGCGGGAGCTGCTAGGCCTAATCCGCAAGGAACCTTCAACGTTTCGAATGTGACATTATCGCAATCCTTCGTTCTCCAAAGCTTGGTTTCAGAGATCAACGGCAAAGCTCGATATACAGTAAACAACGTATCTTATCTTACACCCAAAACTCCGTTAAAGCTCGCCGATGCCTTCGCCAATGGAGGAAACGGTGTTTATGTTCTCGACAAATTCCCAACAAATTCTTCAAACGCTGAAGCCGTCAACGATGTTTTCGTAGCATCTGGAATCCATAACGGCTGGACCGAGTTTGTGTTCAAGAATGACTTGGATTTAATCCATACTTGGCATTTGGATGGTTTTGGATTCTTCGTAGTTGGGTAAGTAAAGATTAGAATTAAAATTCACAGGGTGAAGCAAAGCTTATTTACGGTTCAATTTGTATTGGCTTTAGGTTTGGTGAAGAACAATGGACACCGAATTCTCGATCTTCTTACAATACCTACGATCCGGTGGTCCGCTCGACAATTCAGGTGTACCCTGGCAGATGGACATCGGTTTATGCTTATTTAGACAATCCTGGGATGTGGAATTTGAGATCACAACACTTGAAAAACTGGTACTTAGGTCAGGAGCTTTATGTGAGAGTCTATGATCCTGATCCTAACCCTGCTAAGGAAAAGAAGGCCCCTGAAAACATGCTCCTTTGCGGTTAGTGACATTCATTGTCTATATTGTTTTCAAAGTACTCATATTCGACATTTATGTATTGTTATGGTTTGATTCATCGAACCGTGACTGTATATTAAACACATACCGATATCGAATACTTATAGTTGAATCTAAATGTTTTCTCTTATTTGACAGGAATCTTTGGCTCTCCACCTCCACCTCCACCCACACCCCCAACCCTTCCTCCACCTCCACCTCCGGCTCCTATGGCCCCAGCAAACAGTGGTTCATCTAAACAAGTAACATGGTAAGTGTAAATTTTAACTAGTAATAACCTGTTTTACTCGAATTCAGTGATGAGTATCGGATTTCTATTGATTATACTCTCCTACGCGTTGGAAAATACTTCTAACACTACGTACCCTTATCCGAAGAGTTTTAATTACTATGCATTGCTTGAATGTTGATTTCAGTCCAGTATCCATGAAATGCATAAAATCATTCTCTTTCATGTTCATAGGTTCCACATGATTGTGGTCTGCATTGTATTCATCATAAACCAGTAAGCAGACAGATTGTTTCGGCTTCAATTCAGGCATGGAAGGGAAATCAGAAATTGTTGGAGACTTTGTCAGGGTATTTTTTTTATCGATTCAAGGCATGTTTGAGATCTATTACTTTAAAGTACAGTCAATGGGTTGTATGATGTAATACTTTATCAGACTTGAACAACATTTGTCACACCCCAACTTAGAGGCTAAATTTTAGAAATGATAAAGTATTGAATTCAAAAGAATTATGGAAAAAATTCATGGACTTTAGTTATTATTTTCCCTCATTTAATTATTATAAGTTAAGAGATTTCTAAAATACGTTAGCTTATTATTGTTAAATGATATGAAGTGTGGTTGGCTAATAATTGTTATATTATACTATTATTTTATTAAATAATTGAGGGCCACTCATATGAGATATATTTTTTAAGTAAGAATAATGCAGTCATGGTTGGAATCCATTGCTTTGGGCTCTCACTTTCGGCCAGCTTTTGTATCCATCAAAACCTTTGTATTATTTTTAATACATGCCAACCGGAAAGAAAGAAAAAAAAGATCAACTCATTAATAAAGGAACAAATGAATCCAAGCAAAGCTATGAGTGATGGGAATTAATTTAAAAAAAAACATATCATCCAGTGGTTAGAAATGCTTGATGGGTTGCTGGGACCATACTGGAAGGCAGCTGGAATTGCTTTCAATTGTAGTTTCATCTTATTCGGATCTGTCATACAACTCATTGCTTGTGCAAGCAATATTTTCTATATTAATGATAAATTGGACAAAGGACATGGACCTATATTTTTGGAGTTTGATGTGCCACCACAGTTTTCATATCGTTCTTTCACAACTACCGGATTTGGTCTTTTATAGGTATTGGAATGATTACCTATACGGTCTGGTACATGGCCATAGCTGCCCTTATTCACGGCCAGGCTGAGGTCGTCACACACAGTGGTCCAACAAAGCTAGTCCTCAACTTCACCGGAGTTGCCAACATACTCTACGCCTTGGCGGACATGCCGTGACTGTATCTACAAACGTCCATCGCGAGTCTCGTGAAGGGAGGTAAGATCCGTGAGGAGAAGAATGAGGCGGCTTCGATGGTATGATTTGGGTCTCGAACGGTGACTGAAGATGGTAACCGACGCGGTGGTCATCGACTTTTGATTGTCGGCCGACGAAGCTTCCTTGTTCATTTGCAGAGCTCGGTGAAGATATCTAAAGAAATAGAAATGACTTAAAGTCTAAGTCTGGAAAGAAAGATCATGTGAGGAAGAAAGAAAAAAAAAAGAATTGAAAATGAAAGTTAAAAGGGAGCAGCACGTGAATTTGGGGGTTTGTTATTAAAGTAGAAAGGGGGAAATTATAAGGTAAGACATCCGAGTGTTAAAAGCTCAACCTTGTCTCTTAGCTTTTATATTGTTATGATTATGGCATAATGGTTTTATTAAGATCGATTTAGTCCCTAATTTTAGTAATTAAAAATTATATTGACTCCTAAAGTTTTTAGTGTTAACAAATGGGTTCCCATTTTATTATTTAGATTCTAATAAGTTATTTTTATGGCAAGGGAAATTATTTGGATACGAGTTAGTAATTTTTATGGCCTGAATCGTGGGAAAAATATTGGAAGTTGAATTAAAGATCGAGGGCGTTCAAATGGAATTTAAATGGAATTTAAATGGTTGATCGATATTGCACGGAAATCGAGGTAATACTTTACTACCTCTTTATGCTTTATGGAACATGTTGATATTGGTAAATGCATGAATAAGATAACGTTGGTCACTTTTGTGGAGTTGAATAATTTATTCACTCGATATGAATGTGGTAGAAATTCTGTAACTGAATACGGATCGAATGACTAATATAAGAGATTGAGGAATTGTTAGAATTAAATTACAAGTTTGTGATAAGTGATAAAGAAATCAGCCCTGGATTTGTAACTTATATTTTATATCATCAAAGGTTAAATGTTAAAGGTACTTATATGAGAAATTATGAGAATATTTCGATTAGGTAAAATTACGAAATTACCCTTATGTTGGAAAATGACAAGAATTGTCCCTGGAAGTGGATTAGTAAATCTGAAAAGACATATTGATCTGATAAATTTATTGATGTACATAAGAAATGTTAGTTTTACTCGGAAATTATGGATAACCGGTTTTTAACCTCAATAGGGATTTTGCAAGATACAGAAGTCTGTTAAGGAATCATTTCAAGATCAGAGATGTTCGAGGAAACAACTAACCATAGGATCTTTAAATTATAAGTATGCTCGTTAAGAGTTAATACCGAAATCATCTGGTTAAGAAATTACGAAAATGCCCTTGAAAGGTAAAAATAGCTCGAGTTGACCTTGAATAAGAAAGTTCTTGGAGGATTTGTACTTAACTCAATAAATTAAGTATTTAATTGTTAAGATCCTGTCTTTGTACATAAAATTTCTGATAACCTATTGGTAACATCTGAGAAGACAATCGATCTGAAAATCTTCGAGTTAAGAATAAATTATCGAGGGTGCTCTTTTGTAAGAATTATTTGAAAGGTCTGGAATAAATGATAAGTTGGAATTAAATAATAAGACAGAATTGAAGGAAATAATTGAAATACACCGGATCTGTAAAATGACCAGAATACCCCTGTAATGAAAAAGACTCAAGAATATTACCAAGCTCAGGAATAATTGGATATCCTCGAGCTCTGAAAAGAATGGAATAAAACTGGGCACCAGAATGACCAAAATACCCTTATGACCTAAAATTAGTAGAAGTGTTGGATTAATTAAGGAATCCAAATAAACATGGATGGTACTGCTCTTAAAAGTTGGATCATATTAAGCCGAGCAATCAATGCTAGTGTATATGTCAGTACCTGAAATGTATAGATGTTACTTGAATGCGTGTTCGTCTTCTCAAGTGTGGTTCAATGATAATTTTGAAAGTACTCAGCTCAACTCAACTCTAGGTCGTATTCGATAATAAGAAATGAATATTTGTTAGACAAATCAACCACGAAGACCAAATTAAATTAAACGAAAGTACAATATATATATATATGAAATTCAGAAACGTCTGGATTATCTGGAAAGCTCTGAAGTAATCGGGATAGACTTGACTGATAAACGAACTAAGTAACCTCAATGACTGAGGATTAAATAGGTGATTTGATGAGTTTGGGAACACTGTTGAACTTACATGATGAATTATCCTTATGGGTCATAAAACATGAATCAAGTACGTATGTATTTCCTGATATCGTTGAAATATGGAAATGAAATAAAGACTATTGGAAGATCTATTCAGCAATGATTACGAAGATGATTTATGGACAAGAATTTTGGTATTAAAGAGTAAATACTCTGAAAAGGCAGTAAATTGACGGGTCAACATGCATTAGTTCAGAGAGCTTGTTCAGTTCGAATTGTTCGATAAACCGATCGATTAACATGGATTGTAAATGTCTTGAAGCTTCGTTTCTCCTTTATTAGCTCAAATCACTCTGGGCATTCTGGAACGCTTTCCTGATGCACATGAATCATAGTGGAATTCTAAAGTATCAACTTTAAATGTCTGATTAGATCGGTTAATAATCGATTCTCTCTAATAGGACCTTGTTCTTAGAATCTGATCAAATTGCACGAGCTTCATGTTATCCTTACCGATAATTACAAAATGCCTCTGAAAAATACTTGGATCCTCTAGTGTGTTCCCTAATTATTACTGAACTGTTTTATTGGTTTTAATATGAGGTACACTTAGTTTTTTGGTTACTGTTTTATTGATGCACCAATTTAATGTGATGATTTATGGAATTTGTGTCAGGGTGCAATTGAACTTTTAGATTGAATTACAATAGTATAGCTCTGATCAAGCTAATAAACAGAATGAGCCTAATGTGACTCTTGGGGCCCCAAGATACATTAGGTTGGCTTCCCTTCCTGTGTGCTTAGGGTAAGCTATATGGACTTAGACTTACGGGCTTAAGGATATAAGCTCTAAAGCTTATCCTTAGGTTGTCTTTCTTTTTTGCTGTGTGCTTAGAGTAAGCTATATGGAAAATAGTTTTGAAAATTATTGATGGTGTACAAGAAAAGAGTTTAAACTATGATTTTCAAAAGTTAAACTCTTTTATGAATTTATGAGATTTACTAGACTATGATTTGTTTATTGTACCTATTATGATTTTATTGTATTGTTGGAACACACTAGACATCCTATTCGATATCCTAAAAACGTGATACTATGAATGCTTCCTTTGAACTGAGATATTCATGGATTCTATTCGATGAACTACCAGTGGAACCTCAGATTATTCTGAAAATTTGTATACGTCTGATTCAATAAGAAAATTATGACTTTCCATTTATCTGCATGTCCTTTAGCATCATCAGGTAGTTCTGTATTACTGAGCTTTCCGAAGCTCACTCTATTACTCAACATTGCAGGTTAAAAGAATTGTACCAGTGCAGCTATCGACAACAGTAAGGGAGTTCTTCCGGCGTTGTTTTCAGAGTATGATACATGTGATTAGGGGGCATGTAATTGTATTTTGTTTTATATACGAGTCTGGAAATATGTTTTATTTTTAAATAGTGACAAATGATTTTATAAGTTTACATGTTCTGATAAAAAGTTTTAAATTTTCCGCTATTTTTACACAGTGGGTCGCTCCGGTGGCCCTAATGTGACAACCCAGATCGGATCGGGTTATCCGCATCGGTCTGGGGGGTTACAACATTTACTTTAAAGTACAGTAAAAAACTGAAGAATCAGTTTTGGGCCTCTTCTTCAAGTTAATTAGGCTAATTGGATCATCCTCTTAATCCAAGATCATATCCTTGCCCATAATATACTCATTTGAAAATGCCCAAGTATTTTAGTCCCAAACATTTTAATTTTGGGTTAAAATAGTCTATATTAGATAGAAACAGTTAGTTGACTAACTATTAATTCATGTTATTGACGTAACATTTTTACATAAACCACATCATCACTTTAGGTGATGTAAAACATGTCATATCATCCGAACTCGACCAGAAAAGTAAATCCCTTCATTTTCACTCAGTCTGATTTTTCAGGTAAAAATCTACATTTGATCCAACACAACACGAACATATATTTTTAAAAAATAATTTTGATTAGTTTTTAAGGATTTAATTGAAAAAAATAATATAAATGGATTAATGATCTCTAAATATATAAGAAATATTATAGTATTATATCGTGTTAAAATTTTCATCCTAAACTTAATTTTACTCTCTTAAAAATCGACTTGATCAAATCGAATTAGAACTCGTCAAACTCGAACTAAATCACCATTCCTAAAGACAATCTAGAAGTATGAAACATTGGTAGACAACGGAAAACGTGTGGGACCTCTAAACAAGTGAATCTTTAAGCTAACCAGCATGCGACCTTCATGATTATGGCTAAACCAACCAAAATCATTAAAGATCTTTAAGTTTTTATTCAGGTAATATTTTAATGATCAAATTATTATATTTCATGTCTTATTTATATAAGTAATGCAATGCCTAGTTTAAAGTAAATTTAAAATATGTAATTATTTTTTCTTTTAATGATATAAAGATCATTATTAGATTGATTCAAAATTTTATGTCTATAACAAATATAATTTAATCAATAATTATTGTCTAAATGATGTTAGAGCAAAGAATGACCTTGACCCCTCCATGTGAAGCAAACCATTATCTTTAAAGGTTTTGATTTTAAATTAAAAATATATATAATTTTTCAAACTTGATTTTTAACTAGTAATGATAGTGATATGTGATTAGTTCCCGGTTTTAGTGGCAGACATTTACCATGGGTGGTAGGAGAGTGCTTTACGGACCGAGAAAAAGAAAATCTCAATGAAGGTCTATCATTGCTTATTTGCTTTTATCTAATCACATTTTTCATCATTCAACTCCAATTTCTAAACTTTTTTCCCTATGATATTTGTTTTGATATTAAATTCAATATTTATTAAAAAAATATGACTTTCACTTATTTTTTAAATATTTAAATTGAATTTGTATTTAGGGTTATTATTTGATACACAAGTTGGGTAAAATTTATTTTATATGATTTGTTTACTTTGATTATATTATTTAAATTATATTTCATCAATCATATGATGACACGTGTCACATATGATTGGCTTCGATGAAATTAAGGCTTAAAGTAAAAGTAAGCCTCTACGTTATGTCCATAAATTATTTTCTGATCAAAACAAGTTCTTAAACCGTTATATGTAACCATTCTAAGTCTTGTCATTTTTTAGTTAAAAAAATTTCTTTCGATCAATGAGATATTAACATGTCACACAAAATAGTTTAGAGACTTAAAGTAAAAAAAAGAGAGTATAGTTTAAGGGTTTATTTTGACAATAAAATAGTTTAGGCACTTAAAGTGGTTACGTATAATAGTTTAAGAATTTATTTTAGGTAAAAATATGTTTAGTTGCTTAAAGCGAGAAAAAAAATAGTCTGAGGACTTATTTTTAGTTTAAGCCTTAAATTAATTAAAAATAATTAAATACATTTGTTTTAATAAATATTTTTTATTGACATGGTAACGTTAACGTGACATGTCACGTCAATATCTCTATCCACTATTTCTAATGAATCAACTTTGGGAGTAGACCGTTTGTTGATTAACAGTTTCAATCTACATAAGGGTTCTTTTGACCCAAAGTAAAACGATAAGGGTTGATATGCTAAAAAAATAGGAACAAAAGTGATTATATTATCAAATGTCGGAGATATTTTTTATTATTATATAATTATTAAAATATATGATTATATTTTTAAAATTTTAAATTTATTCAATTCGACACATTTGTATTTGACACTTTTAATCTCAAACCCTTTAAAACCTAATTAATAATACACAAATCAAAAGAAGAGAGATAGGGAATGCCATGAGAGCACAAGATTCACATTTGATTAATGAACACTTGGCTACAACATAAATTTGTTAAAGGTTCTTGACTAATCTGGAAATAATGGATATCTGCTTGCGATTTCATTAATGTACAAAATTAGGAAACTCAACCATCAAAATATACATTTGAAGTCTCCATTAAACACTGGACGTTAGGATTGTAAAGTTCGAAAAAATCATAGTATGAGAATTGAAAAAGATCATCCTATTAAATTATGTTTTAGATGAAAAAGTTCCTCGTATCGGATCGATCCATCCGAGAATTAATGGATGAGATCGGCTTCAACGACCTTCTGGTACTTGGTTTTTGGGGAAGAATCATCGTCTCCGTAGTTTTCTGGACCCCTCTTCTTAAGCTTGTTGGAAGAGATGGCCACCGGCGGGATGTCAATGGAGGTTAGTTGTGGCGGAGGATGCTGCCATTGCGGAAGCGGTCCGGCCAAAAGAAGGTTCTGCAGGAGCGGACCGGCATCTTTAACCGCCTGCAACAGCTTTCCTTTCGCCGGAAGTGGCCTGTTAACTGCTAGTTTCAACGCATGTTCGGTAAGAGGTGATGGTACAGTCACCGGAGCCGAAATCGAGTCGGAACCCGGAGATGAAACGATGGTTGGTTCGCCGGCGGAGAGATCTGCAGGTTTTGTTTCATCTTCTTCACGGGAAACACCGAAAGGTGAAGCAGTATCCAGCTGTTGCTGCTGTAATTGTTGGTGAAGTACGAATTTCTCCATCATCAGCTTCCGACACTGAGCTTGAGCTTCATCTCTCTGTTTCAATGTCCGAAGCAGAACATCTTTGAGATGAACCAATTCAAACTCTCTTCTTGTAATCTCCTGTTTGGCTGACATTAGGGTTGTCTCAAGCTCCACCGTTGTGAACATTAGGGTTTGCTTTAACTCTTCCATTCCCTGCAGAAAACAAAAGATTAGAAACTAAACCCTTGTACGGTGGTACTGCATTTTGACAAGTGATTCAAAGATTGGCAAAGCTAAACAAAGATGGTTTACCTGGTGTTGGTAGAAATAAGAGAAGGTGAGCGAAGTGCATTGATCAGCCATTGAAAAGGTCTAAAATCGGAGGGGAAAGTGGGTTAATTTCTAAGCATTTCAATGGATTCTTCGGCGTTTCTTATAGGAGTTGAAATATCCTTTTGACTGTTACATGTGACCTTTCCCTTCTATCTTTTTCGTTCACGAACCAGAGATTGGAGCCAAAAAGGGTAAAAACTAGGTGCGTCCGAAAATATTATAAAAAACGTAATATTTTAAATTAAACATAATTTAAAATGTTATATTTTTACGATATTTCGATTGTCACCGAAAATATTATGAATGCTATAATATTTTAGATTGTGTTCAACTTAAAATATTATGCTTTTGATAACATTTTTAGTCGCATTCAATTTCTATTATTAAGTTGTCATTTTTTAGACTTTCGCCACATTAGTCGAAAAGTGTCAAAATTATACTCGGATAAATATAAATATGAATAAGCTAATATTTAAATTAAAATTATTAAATAAAAATAAAAAAATATATATAATAGTTAGAATCTAATTTGTTTAATTTTAAAATTAAAAGAGACTAAAGTATTTGAATCCAAAAAAATGATATGTTAAAATTTAATTTATCCAGTTCTAAAACTAAGAGTGACCTAAAGGCAATTGTACCAAAAAAAAGGAGAACTAAGATTTAATTCACCTAATTAATTAAGAAGATTAAGAAAATAAATGAATCTAAAAAATTAGAGAGACGAATTTTAATTTTAAAATAAAAAAGCTTAAAAGATAATAAAACCTATTTTTGAGGAAGCATGACCCCACCACCATCATATATAAATCTTTCTATGCACATCACATTACTAATCTCATAGTTACACTAAACTAAATAAAAGATTTTGTATATCGTTACATTTTTATTTTTAATTTGAGTAACTCGACTTAATTTACTATTTTAATATGAAAATAATTTTTATTTAGATTTTATTATAAAAATTTTAGATCATAACTTTATCCGATTGATGAACATCTACTATATATAATAATAACTTAAGATAATACAAAATATAATACAGTTAAGATACGATAGATCCCATTTTCAATAAATAACATTATACATCAACCCTACATGTGATTATGTGAGCACACCCATATGTTCAACATTCCCCACCTTAGAAATTTTATTTTCTTTTTATTATAAACAAAAATAAACCGCACAATATTATAAGTATAATCACATCTTTGAAAATCTTAATTTTTCATATAATTTAAATATTCTCTTTATAAATTTTATTGACGGTCTAATTTCATATTTCTTAAAATTTTATAATTCACACTTCTAAATTTTCAATGCAATTTCTTAAATTTATATCGTTGACATAAAATCTTATATTCGCCCGATCAAATCATAAAAATCTAATGTTGGACATTGGAATAATATAAATTTCTGACCTTAAGATTTTCGAAGCTCTCCACCAAAAATGATTGATTAAAAGAAAAGAATAAACGGTAGGGTCCTCAACCTACAAATGAAAGGCCATTTAGACAACAAATATATGTCCCTTTCGGGGGAGGGGGGGGGGGAGTTTAACATCCAAAAGTCACAATTTAGAGTAGATATAATAATTTTCAACACACTGTAATTATTTAAATATATTATAAAATAATTAAAATGTAATATCAAATACTAGGATATGGAAAAATACTACAGAGAATATACCAACATATGAAACTATACAAATTTATATCGATATATAATTACTTAAATATAACTAGATAATTTTTTTTAAAATAATTTATCTTCTATAAATAAAATTAATTTTAATTTATTTACTTTTAAAATTAAATAAATTTATTAAAAATATTTATATTATAAAAATAATTTAAGTATACATTATTTAAAAAATTAACAATTATTAATTAGTATAAATAAAAGTGATAAAATGTTTGGATATAATTTTTTGATAATGCGTTTAAATTTTAAATAAATTTTAATAATTTTATTTAAATTTTTATAAAAATAAAAATAACAAAAAAACTCTACAAAATATTTATTATACTCGAAGGTAAGAATAAATGTATAATTATCAAATTAGTTGATTTTCGAGTTAACTCGTGATATTAAATTCAAGTAAATTTTTAATTATTAATATATATTTAAAGATACATATTTAAAAATTATAAAAAATTATCAAATAATTATAATGGAAAATGGTAAAATATTATGTATAATTTTTAATTCAAATATAAAATAACAAATTTTAATAATATAATTTAAAATTTTATCAAAAATATAAAAAAGATAAAAGAGATCTTTAAGAAAATTTATTTTACTTAAAAATTATAATTATCAACTATGTTAATATTTAAATTTACTCATAACGTTAAATTTAATTAAATTTAATCATTATAAAGTACCAAATATTATCAAATCTAATTCGTTGGCGTAATGTAAACCGATATTAACGTGTGGGTCCTTTCACGTGCATTTTCGGCTTTGGGGTCACTTCCCCCTCTTTAGATCTTCTGGGCGAATCATAAACTGCCCTACAAATTATTTAAAAATAATAATAAAATTAGTTGAATCAATTTTATTGCACATAATCTATATTTTTTGGTTTACTAGAGTATTTAAAAAATTGTTAATGAGCATTTTAGAAAATTATTTAATAAATAAATAATTACTCAGTTCACTATTATTTATAATAATATGGTTATGTTAAATGAAAGAATGGATAATTATATTAATAATTTTCGGCATTAAAACATGAATCCTTTCAACAACATTATTTTTATCATTAAAGTCACTCGATTATTTTTTATTACGCTCTATCCTATATCTTTATATTAATTATTGAATAATTCTCATTAATGAATGTTTCATCTTTCAGAAAAAAATAATTAATTAGATGATTTATAAAGTTGTCGAGTTGTAATTGGTAAGTAATCCCTTCCATTTTTTCAATTTAAATTCTCAATTGATTAATTTTAATGCAGAGGAAAATAATATTTTTTATTAGTCTTGAGTGATTATAAGGTAGTATTTGTTCAAAATCTTTTTTAACTATTGATAACACACATACACTCTATAAATGCACCTGCTCAAACTAAAATCTTTAAGCAAAATAACACTTCTTTTAATTACAGAAATTATTTGATAAAATTATTGATATCGGACACTATGTAATACTAGTATCCTTATTGCAGCCCATAGGATTAGGACATTAATTCTAGCATCGTTATTGCAGCCCATAGGATTAGGACATTAATACTAGCACACGGTGTGGAATTTTCACAAGTTGAATCTAATAGTGTCTAAACGGTAAGATAAAGACTTTAGAATGTTTATTTGTAATGGGTTCTCCGAGAATGTGACGGATATAATAACGAAAATGGTTAATGTGGATTCATATAACACAACAATGTAAACATAAGTTCTGAAAGAGGTCCTTCTGCTACTAATAAATGACTGCTTTTCTCCAGTACTAGAATTACCCCACTGCCTAGCCCATTTACCTACCTTCTTTTCAATTCAAATCTGTATAATCAAATTCAAAATTGATTAAATTTAAAATAGTTTGAACTTGAATTTAGGGTTTCTATTGTGGGTATAACGCACAAACTGAAAAGACGTCCTACAATATTTGTATTTGTGGTGTACAAATTCAGATATCGAATTCGACCCGATCCAAAATTTTGGATAAAAAACATAACGATCCGAATATTTCACTTTAATCTTCTTTTCTTTTTTCAAATGAGTTTTGCTTACCTATCTCTATTTGTAATGCATTAAAATATATAAATAGTACTATTAAAAAAACACCAAAAGCATATTTACTTATTTTTTTAATTGTTGATGGCAAGAAACATCTGACACAAAAATCATTAGCCAAAACAAGTACTGGAAACTGAAAATATATTTTGAGAGGTAACCCTAATTAGCGAAGCTGTAATGGAAAGGAATGTAGGAAAAAACTACAAAATTCCATTTAGCTTAATATTAAAATGCATTAGATTATTCATCCGGCTTTCAATTCCCCCTTCTTTCTCTATTTCCCCCCTTATTCATATGTTCAGGTTATGCAAAAAGCTCAACTTATCATTTTGTAAATATGATTCTTATGCCTAACGTTCATGCCACAAATCACATTCAAGCTCTGAAGCTTTCGCAAGCTATCCAATAAACTTGTAAATTAAGAGACATAGATGATTGCCTACAGATATAAATAATGTCATTATCATTTCCTGATAGAGATCCAAATGTTTCCAAAAGAATCACTTAAACAAATCATATTCTGCTCCCAACAAATGTTCAAAGTATAACTAATACATTCCAATGTAAAACTACCAATGAAAGAATGCTTAGAAAGACACAGAAAATAAATGTATTTAAAGCACCATTCAGTTACAAGGCTCTGCCGGTTGGATGCCTTTTATTATATGCCTAAGACTAAACTAGAATTTTGGGTATACATTACACACAGCTGGAAGGAGAAAACTATCGGAAAGCTGAAAGGAGCAGCTTCCCGTGGAAGGTACAAAGACAGGGCTAGTGCCTACTGGGCCTAGAGCTAAAGGTCCATTTATTTTCGGATTTTCAAATAATCCGATATTGATTCTTTTTTATCTGTATCTAATCTAATTATTCGAATTTTTAATTGGATATCCAATCCGAAATATTCGGGGGGAAATAGATCGGACTATCGAACAAATAGATCGAATACTTTTACACACCCATTGAGATGCACAAGCAATGAAAGTGATTAAACTCTTTTTGCCTCTTTATACATGCATGTGAAAGTTTGATGGGTAATGACCCCACATGTTTTTAAGTATCTTTTTCTTTCTCTCTTCTATTACTGAAGTGATGCAAAAACCAAAATAATATTCGATCAAACTAATAAATTTAACGGTTGAACAATAAACATTGAAGTGAAAAAATTGATATTCTAGTTAAAATTAGGATTTGAAAAGAAAAAAAATAGAACCACACATTTTTTTATAGGGCGAAATTAGAAACGGCAAAAGATTATTAAAGTTCTTTTTAAAAAACGAATATAAACGAATATAAAATCAATTTTATCCTTTAAGTG